AATTTTCTTTCTCTTTCATTATACCCTTTGTTGCATTTAGGTTTGTTAGAAGCTTATGAAGTTCAGAACCATGATCAAGTTAATCACGCGAAAAGCAACTCCAATGGTCCATGGATTGCTCATTTTCATTGCCATGTGGCATTCTAAATGTCTAGAAGTCTTTCTATATCTAGAAGTACTTTTAGACATCCTCTATTATATTTTTTTATTATTTATTAGATATATATATCATCACCAACCAATTATAATGTAACAATGTCAAATTATACTTAAATTGACATTCACCATTGGAGACAAAATTTTGTAACTCCCATTCTTCATGTTATACATCTCCAAATGGACTATATACCATTGGAGATGCTATAATAAAGCTGCTCTTGTGAAGTCCCAGGCCAACATGCAGTTTTGTCACGTTGCATGAGCCATCTAATGAGGCCAAACGTAACAGCTACTTGCAGGATTCAGTTTACACCATCGGATGAGCATCTTCCTATATTTGTCTTATGTAATAAGATTGTGACAAGTGTCCTTATTCTAGTTCTTTCTTTTTTTTTTTTTTTTTTTTTGGTAGCTAGTAGGGTTTTCCATGATATATACAATTCTCAGTCGTCTTTGTACTGTCTAATGAAACAATGAAGATCTCATCTCAGTTTTATTGTTTTCAGCATTACCATGCTTCCACAATACCATGTTTTTTATCATGGTATCAGAGCAGGTGCTCATACCTGTGTCTGATCCATTGAATTCTCTACCTATTTTCAACCTTGGTTTTTCTTTATTTAAAAAAATGTCTGAAGGATCATCGAGCCTGAACACTGGCAACTCCAACTATATGCAGTTAATTTCACCAAGCAACCAGATGGTCACTGTCAAACTCGATGACATCAACTACTTAGTTTGGAAACTGCAGGTAGAAATGGTCATCAAAGGATGTGGTCTTGAGGGCTTCATCGATAGAAGTAACCAAGCACCTCAGATGATTTTAGCAGCCCAAGAACATGGTCAATTTATTCAAAATCCAGACTTTACTAGTTGGCAGGCAAGATCATCTCTTGGCATCTTGGATTCTCTCTTCTTTAGGGAATAGCATTCTCCCACTCATGGTTGGCTTGAGCTCCCACATATGGACTGCCTTACAAAAGAATTTCAGCAGCCAATCCCTTGCTCGAGTCATGCAGTACAAAATAGAGCTACAAGGTCTCAAAAAGGGTTCCTCAACCATGAAGGAATACATAAGCAAGATGAAGACTCTTTGATGCTTTAGCTGCAGCTGGTCATGTTGTCTTTGAAAAGGATCAGATAATGCATCTCATTGGTAGCCTTGGGCAAGAGTATAATTCTATTATGGTGACTGTTTCATCAAGACTTGAGCCATGGACAATCATTGATATCCAAGCCCTTCTTCTCAGCTTTGAGTCAAGACTTGAATCATTTGGACTGAGTGCACCCCTTTGTCAATAATGATGGATCTTATACCGTGGCAAATGTTGTTGTGACTCAGAGTTTTCCTAGAGGAGGATTTCAGAATTTTCAAAACTCTCGAGGCAGAGCTCCTTTCAATCAGAACTTTAGAGGAAGAGGTGAAGGAGGTACCAACAGAGGAAGAGGAGGAAGATCTACCAAACCAAGAGTGCAATGCCAAGTTTGTGGTGTAAATGGACATTCAGCTGAAAGGTATTGGTACAGTATTATAGTGGTTATATGGGCAGTGCTCCAGAAAATACACAGAGAGCTTTCAACAACCCATCTCTCAACATGATGCACAGTCAAAGCTTCACACCATCTGAGGTCAACATGATGACAATTGTATTAGTAATCTGTTGCTAATACAATTTTAAAAAACTTTGTTGTTGTTCTATTGGTATTTTGTTTGTGTTTACTAACGACATATTTCCATCACTATTTGCCAACGGAATACAAAGATGTAATTTTTCGTTGCTATATCTTGTTAATATTCTGTTGGCAATCCGTTTAGAAAAATTGTATATATAATGCATTGCTAATCCGTTGGTAACCCCTAACAGAAAAATTTTTGTTCGCATTTTGACAATTTCTTGTAGTGAATTGGGCAAATACTAGGCCTTAGAAGCAAAAGTGTACTCATTAAAAGAAATATATATTATTTTTTTAATGAGACTATATTTATTCTCAATTTATTGAAGAAGAAAAATCAATTTAATTGTTATTTGTTATGCACGTAATTTTTATTTTTTTAAATGAATAATAAAAAAACTTATAATATGATCTAAAATAAATAGTGTTTTTTCTATTCTCTATAGTTAAATATAGATTAATTATTTTAATATAAAAAATTAAATTAAAAAAAATTATCAATATTATTCAACACTGTCGGTTGTATCTATTATTGAAATCTTATTTAAAGAAATGTCATACACTTTTAAATTAATGATAATAATTTATATAATTATATATTATACACATGAAATAAATAAATAATGTATATTCATCAAACCGGTTCGACTACTGGTCTGACCAGTAAACCATTGAACCGGTAGTTTCACCGATTTGATGACTGGTTCGGTTTTCGGAACCATGGTAAAACACAATAGCGTAACAAAGTGCAGTTTCATATTCACTAATGTGCAACTTGCCTAATACTATTGTGCAATTCATAGACGAAATATTTTTAATGTACATATATACATAGTATATCTTGTATTAAATTTTTAATAAATTACTCACGAATTAAATTACAATATAATTAAATTTCTTAAAATTTAATGCATGTAAAAAAAGTGTGGTAGTGTACTTTCTATTTTGTCACGATCATTGCGTAGAATACATTTGCGTTAAATTCACTCTCGAAATTATTAATGTGCATTTAGTCTATCAATATTGTGCAGTCTGCCATATATATTTTTTAATGTGCATAATATTGTACAATTTTAATATTTAAATTTAATATTCCTTTTATTTTTTATAAATTTCAGTTTTTCCACATAGGAGCCTTTGCCAAACACGCTGGCCAAAAACTTACTGCCAAAGGGGATTTTTATTGTTCGAAACAATAGAGATATTATATAATCAAAACCCATACAAAACAGCCAAAAGATGAATAGTACAACCAAAGGCTGAAAAAACTGGGAGAACATATTTGCATATCGCCTAGAGCCTGATCTAGCAACGCTAGAAAAACATACTCGCAACATCACAAGTAAAAACTAAAAAAAACTTAAAAACTAAAACGATACCAAGGATAATGTCCGAGTGTACGATCTCAACATGATAATAAATTCACACTCTGACGCACAGGGGTCAACGACTCAAACCAAGAACACAATTCCTAAACAAAAACAAAGCGGAAAACCATACAAAAACTAAAAAACGAGCCCTTCACAGCAAACACTACCGAACCGAAACCAGGGAACAACCGATCGACCCTAAAGAAGGGATCGAGATCAAAGAAATCGCCCCGAAAACTGCCAAACCGCCTAACACAAGACGAAAGTCAAATCCCAACACTCAGCGGGAGGCCGACCCACCCCTCGGGGATTGTGTTGCAATTTCTAGACAAGGTTGTATTGTGTGTGTATGTGTGTGTGTTTTTTTATTTCTCTCTCTTTCTCTCTCTTTTTTTTTTTTTTTTTTTT